CTAAAAATACAAAAATTAGCCAGGCGTTGTGGCATGCACCTGTAAGTCCCCGCTACTCAGGAAGCTGAGGCAGGAGAATCATTTGAATCTGGGAGGCAGAGGTTGCAGTGAGCCGAGATCGTGCCACTGCACTCCAGCCTGGGTGACAGAGTGAGACTCTGTCTCAAAAAAAAAAAAAAAAAAATCCAAAATGCTCCAACAAACACTTCCTTTGAGTATCATGTTGGCATTCAAAAAGTTTCTGATTCTGTAGAGTTTCCAACTTGGGATTTGGGATGCTCAACATGTATGGCAAAGGTGGATGGATTTTATAGATGTCATAAATGTCCCTCATTAGCTGACTTAAAAAAGAGAAATTATGCTGGGTGGGCTAGGTCTAATCAGGTGAGCTCTTCTTTTAAAAAGTCTAGGGGTCAGAGACTGAAGTTAGAAAAATACTCTCCTGCTGGCCTTAAAGAAGCAAAAACCCAGATTATCAGCTGCCTATGAAGAGAGGCAGCCTCTAGGAGCCATGAGTCTCAGTTACACAACTACAAAGAAATGAATTATGCCAACAACAGGACCGCTTGAAAGAGGACTCCAATCCACAGATGAAACCCCAACTGTGACTGCAGATTGTCAGGTCCTAAGCAGAGGAACCAACCAAGTTTTGCTTGAACTCCTGACCCATAGAAGCTGTGTCGTAAATGTATAGTAAGCTGCTAAACGTGTAATTTGTTACATGTCATACAAAACATAAACCTCTAGGCTAAAAAGGCACATTTTATTCTAAGGAAATAACACCTCAATAAAGGAGACTGAAAAACATGTGCAAGTAGAAATGGAAAGTGCTATAGTAAAGCTACAAGATAAAGTTGAAGAAATCACCCAGAAAATGGAGCCAAAAAGACACAAGTGAAAAAAGAAAGTATTTAAAATGTGAAATGCCCAGTCCATGAGGGTCAACGTCAAAATAAAATAAATTTCTGAAAGAAGAAAAGGAAATAATGAAACAACTCAAGAAAAATGTCAGAACACCAGAACATAAGTTTTCACTTTTAAAGGTCTTAGCAAGTGCCCATCAGGACAAAAAACACAGATAAACAAAAAGATCTTATATGTCTTCAAACAGTTAAATTAACAAGAATCAAGAATAAAAATTGCTTGACTTTTAACAACAATCCTAGAAGCTAGAAAACAATGAATAAAGAAATGTTAAAGAAAAAATGTCAAGCATAGAATTCTCTACATAGGAAAGCTATCGGATTAAGTATGACATTAGGAAAAGCTTTTTCAGACATGCATCGTCCCTCAAAATTTACCTCCTATGCATATTTTCCTGAAAATCTACAAGACGATGTGCTCCACCAAAAAGGAATAAATCAAGAAAGAAAATTATATAGGATATAAGAAATAAGGATTCCAACGCAAGGGAGAGTTGAGGGAATATCCAAGGTGATAGCTGAACAGCAAGCCAAAAGGACAGCACTCCAATGGGGCAGACCAAGATACTCAGGAGAGTCTTGTTCAGAAGACCAACTATGCCTGGTGCAACTGAACATACCAAGTGGAGAGGCGAGTGCCTGGTGCGGAGCTTGAGATGGGATTAGTTATAAGTACATGGAAAGCAAAGCAAATAAAAACCAGTATCTTTACTAACTCAAGAGAAAGCAAAAGTCGTAGGGGTAAAGAAATATTAGAATATATGACAAGGCTCAAATATGAATATAATTTAAAGTCATAATAATGTGAAACCTGAATACTGATCTAACCAGTATCACAGTTTGTTCCAGGGGAATGGGTAGTGAAAGCTAACTTCTAACCTTCCAAGTGGGAAGTTATTAGATGATGCCTATACATGACCAAATCAGAAATAAGCATGTCATTTCAAGATATGGAGGTAAATACCAAAATAATTAGGGTCAAAAAGTGGTTCCTCTTAGAAAAAGGAAGAGGGAGAAGGCAAAGCCCTTATTTTTCACTGAGTTTTGTAGAAATTTGACTCTTTAAACTACGTGCATGAGTAACTTTGAAAGACAAAGGCTATATACATGGGTCCTCACATTATCTTTTTCTACTCCGCCATACCACATAAGCATTTTGTACTTTTAGAAAGAGAGAGGGTTAAAAAGGTTTATTACCTCTAAAAGAATTCATTTAAGTTGCTTTTGTTTCGCCTTAAAAACTAACTCTTGCTTTAGTAACTTGAAATCATTAAGTTTTACTCAAAATAACAGCAAAATATTGATCAATTCTCTTTTTTCTTTGTGTTTGGCAAGCCCATGGAACACAGCCTCAAGTTAGCAAGTGCATTCTGTTGCTTTTGAGCACACTGGCATCTCAGGTACCTGAGCACTTGTCTTTAAGAGGCAAAGGCAGAAAAGGATATCATAGTGTCACCACTACCAAATTGGGAAGGCCCTTGTCAAAATCACCGAGGCATCTCTCCTTTTATTCTTTTGGAAAAACTGATTTTCCCCTGTCATCAAGTAAGGATCATGCATTGGCTAAAATGGCCCCCTAACCGGCTCTAACTCAGAGACTGTACTGCATTTGTCCCGAGTTAAAGGACCATGTCTCTTTTCACAAAATATAACACTGAAAACAAAATTAAACAGAATCATATGTTGTTAAAGAATTTTACATAAAAGCATAAAATATTTTCATTAAATGCATTGTCAGAAACAACTTGTCAATGACTCCTTGATTATACAAGAATATCCAGTGGCAGGAAAACTAGTGTTTTCCAATTGCAGATAACAAGGTAAATGCATATAGTTTATGGAAAGTTAAAAATCTTTTACTTTTTATTCTGAGACTGTCCTTCTTACTTTTTTGTTGTTAAAATGTAATTTCTGGCACACGACACAGAAAACTGTTTTTAAGTATCCACCTAAACTTAAAACCAGATGTATAACCAGACATTCCACTTTTAGGTATATGTCCAACTACAGTAAGTACTATGCGCATGTCCACCAAAAGACATGTACAAAAACGTTCATGGCAAAATAAGAATTTTTTTTTTAAAAAGAAAGTATAGCAACTTGAATTATAACAGACATAAACTGCAAACTACCCAAATATCTATTAGTCCTACAATGATTAAATGTGACTGCAATATATTCATGTAATGGAAGATTAGACAACAATGAAAGAATGACCCATGAACAGAGTAAAACATCCAACAACATGGATGAATCACACAGAGACACACTGTTGAGCAAAGAGGGCTGACTATATGAGTATGTACCTACCATATGATTTCTTTTACATGAAGTTCAGAAACAGGCAAAACTAATGAAAAGTGACTACAGTTAGAATATCAGCAGGCAGTGGGGTCTGAGAGGAGGCAGGGAGAAGCCTCCTAGAATAACAAAAATATTCTATATCTTGATATGGGTAGTGGTTACATGGGTGTGAGTATATGGAAAAATCAACCTGTCTATTTAGAGGTATATGTGGCTACTTAGATGTACATCCTCATCATATATAAATTATACCTAAAGAAATTTAAGAAAATTATAAGACAATTGGGAAAATTTTTCAAACATTATAATTTATTTTATGAAATGCTGGTGACAGCAGATAACAGCAATTGTTATTTTCATATTTGTACTTACAAAATAACACGTTGCAACTCTATATTGGCGTCCCAAATAATTTTTTCCCAACTTTGTATTTTAAAAATGTATAAACCTACACAAAATTGAAATGCTGGTACAATTAACAACCATATGTCCTTCATCTAGATTCACCAGTTGTTAATATTTTGCTACAGCCACTTCCTCTCTCCCTCTGTTTTGGCTGAACTGCTTGCAAATAAGTGGCAGACATCATGACCGGTCATCTTTAAAGGACATTCTTCTACAGAACAAAAGTGTCACTGGTTATGACTGGCTATCATTGTATCACTGGTTATCGAAGTATCATTATTAAACTGGTTAAACCAAATTTAACATTGATATATTATTTAACATATGGTCCACGTTCAAATTTCCCCAATTGTTTCAGAAATATTCTTTATAGATTCCTCCCATCCCCAATCCAGAAATCTATCCCAGACTCATGCCATGCATTTGGTTGTCCTATTTCTTTTCCTTTTTTTTTCTTTTCCTTTGAGACAGAGTCTCACTCTGTTGCCCAGGCTGGAATCCAATGGCATGATCTCGGCTCACTGCAACCTCCGCCTCCCAGGTTCAAGCGATTCTCCTGCCTCAGCCTCCCGAGTAGCTGGGATTACGGGTGCCTGCCACCACATCTGGCTAATTTTTTGGGTATTTTTAGTAGAGATGGGGTTTTACCATGTTGGCCAGGCTGCTCTCAAACTCCTGACCTCAGGTTATTTGCCCACCTCAGCCTCCCAAAATGCTGGGATTAGCGGTGTGAGCCACTGCATCTGGCCTGGTTGTCCTATTTCTTGAGTCTCTTTCAATCTGGTATACCATGTTCCACATGGTATTAAATTTTTTAACTTTATTTTTGGCTTTTCATGACATTAACAATTCTCAAACAATATAGGTTTTTCTTTGAGTCTACAGACTCTCATTCTGTTGCCCAGGCTGGAGTCCAGTGGCACAATCTGGGCTCACTGCAGCCTCCGCCTCCTAGGATCAAGCAATTCTTCTGCCTCAGCCTCCCGAGCAGCTGGGATCACAGGCATGCGCCAACACACCCGGCTAATTTTTGTATTTTTAGTAGAGATGGGGTTTCGCCATGTTGGCCAGGCTGGTCTCGAACTCCTGACCTCAGGTGATCCACCCACCTTGGCCTCCCAAAGTGCTAGGATTACAGGTGTGAGCCACTGCTCCCTGCCCCAATATAGGTTTTAAATTTTCTTGGTATGTGAAACCCAAAACTCTGCCAACGATTTGTATTCACTTAGTGTCTTCTGCAACCTTTATCACAGCATTGGTACTCAAATACCTTTATCCTGACAAGTCTGGATGAAGCTACTTATCAAATACAGAGACAGGACAGCTCAATGTATAAACACAGCTTACGATTATTCTGCTTTAACTCACCGCTGAGTCTGAGCAGGCCATGGGGTCTGGTTTGGCGTGGGCACTGAATTCGTGGGACTCACTAGCATGGCACTATAGATATTGGAAGCAACCACAAGTATGCAGAGAAGAATAGGCCCGATGATTGCTCCTTCCAGGCCTAGGTAGTATGCTCCACCGGCCACTGCCAAGCCTGTCAGGTAAGGATGGCCACCTCTGGAATAAAGAGCATGACCTTTAACACACAAAAACTGGAGTAAATCTGAAATACATTTCTAATACAATGTTCATTCTTTAATACACTATGCTTTTTGGCATATTATCAGCTTTCTTTAGATCTTTCTTTAGATCACCTCGATGCATACAATGAACACTGACTGCAATAACATTGAGATGCAAGATTTTCTTTTTCCTATGGGTGACATCTGCCTCTTTTTATAGCTCCAGGAATGAAATAATAAAGTCAGCAATGTTAATAGATATTTTATACCCATTTCAGGTGCCTGCCTATGATGGGTTAATGTTGGCTTAGGACTGGTTAGGAGTCACCTGTTAAGTTTTCCTCCATCAAGGATAATTAAGTAAGCATATAATTCAGTTAATTATGCTTTTATACGACAACAACAACGACGATAGCATCCCTGTTACTCAAAGGTCAGACTTTTGGCAACCTCCTAAAATACAGTTTTTAACACAGGTAATGATAAAAGGCCTCCTGAGGAAAATATCTGTCACAAAGCCCAAGATTTCTATTTCACAGGAGAATCACAAATGCCCTCCAGCTTATTACAGTATCACTTACAGAAGTGGAATGAAATAAAATAGAACACAGTAGCACAGCACATTGACAATGACAAGAAAGGACCACTGACATCAGAAGGACTGGGAAATAAGTCACATTCTGTTTGTTTCTAGTTTTAAACATAGATGAGAAGAACAATTCAGTGAAGGGCAAATAACTAAATATCCTGGAAGGATGTTCTATATTACAGTTAAACCAAAGTAAGACTTGTGGAGAACCAGTCTTCAGGAAACCAATGTATTATATTCATAATGTGTTTGTCTTTCTCATTCCAAAAAAATGATTTAGGGCAGTATTCAATGTTTGCTAAGTAAACTTCTTCCCTAAACAACACATTCAAGGAAAACTATCAAAAATGCTTAAAGCTTTTTTCCCCGTTCCGTCACCCAGGCTGGAGTGCAGTGCTGCAATCACGGCTTAATGCAGTCTCGACCTCCCAGGCTCAAATGACCTTCCCACCTCAGCCTCCTGAATAGCTGGGACTACAGGCATGTGCCACCACACCAAACTAATCTTTTTATTTTTGTGCAGAAGGGGTTTCACCATGTTTCCCAGGCTGGTCTTGAGCTCCTGGGCTCAAGTGATCCATCCACCTCGGCCTCTCAAAGTGATAGGATTACAGGCTTGAACCACTATGCCCAGCCTTAAAGCTTTAAAAAAAAAAAAAAACGTGTGGGAGTTTATTAATAAAAGCTTAACCTGCTAAAAACTAAAACAATTTATGCCAAACCTTTCATTTCCCAATGACAACGTTTAAAGACAGTATTTTAGGCCGGGCATCGTGGCTCACGCCTGTAATCCCAGCACTTTGGGAGGCCAAGGCAGGCAGATCACCTGAGGTCAGGAGTTCAAGATCAGCCTGACCAACATGGTGAAACCCCATCTCTACTAAAAATACAAAAATTAGCCAGGTGTGGTGGTGCATGCCTGTAATCCCAGCTACTCAGGAGGCTGAGGCAGGAGAATGGCTTGAACCTGGGAGGCAGAGGATGCAGTGAGGTGAGACTGTGCCACTGCACTCCAGCCTGGGTGACAGAGGGAGGCTTTGCCTAAAAAAAAAAAAAAAAAAAAAAAAAGACAGTATTTCTTTAATTCCAGCTGTAAACCTTAATATAAAATGTACAGCAAAGTTTAAAGAAATAAAAGCACTTAAGTATAAATCATACTTAGTCCTACTCAAATGTCAACTGTGACACACTAGTTAACCACACTATGACGTTCAGCCTTTTAATTTTCTCTCTCAAGTTTTAATATGACTGAGAACTGGCTTGATTTATTTAGTGCAATTTCTAAAAGAGATACCAAAACCTATGAAAACAGACATTTATTTATTGTATTATATGGCTAAAGTGTTGATTCTGACTTAGAGTTAATCTGTATTTATCACAGAACGATTCCAATTATACCTTTAGAGAGTTCTGCTTGCCAGAAATTAACTTGCTGAGATTTGGTTTCACATGGAAATCCTCAGACATATAATCTAACATCATTTTCTCCAAAACCAAAGAAGAGATAAATATAATCATTAACGGTTCACTGTACTTAAAATATTTGATGTACATCAGGTGATAATTCTTTTCTAGGTTAAATGTCACTAAAGACAAAATTATTCACAATTTGGTTTTAACCCAGGACATCATATATTAATGATAAATAATACATATGTAATAATAAAATATTGGCAGGGCATGATGGTTCATTCCCATAATCCTAGTGCCTTGGGGAGTTCAAGGCAGGAGGATTGCTTGAGCCTAGGAGTTCAAGGTTCAAGGCTGCAATGAGCCATGACTGCACCCTGCATTCCAGCTGTCTGGGTGAGATACTGTCTCAAAAAAAAAAAAGTTGCTCTGGAACTTTCAGGCAACAACCACCAAAAAAAAAAAAAAAACACCCCAAAATATCATGCCTTGTAAACAATATTATTTTAAATGAAAATTTCATTATATCAGTGGGAACACAAAAGGCTATTTCACTGAAAACTCCTACTACCAGTTCTTTTGTATACCCGAGAGGAAAAAATCCTCCTTTAAAAAAAAAACAACAGAAATGCCTGGAAGATTCACTAATAACTTAAGAAATTCTGTGGCTTACTTACCCTGATATGTCAGAGTAGATTGCAGTATCTACAAAGTATGTTGGCAAGAGATGAAAAATCAACAGTAAAATGGCCTTGCATCCTAACCCTTGTGTCAGCCACAGGTCGAGAACTGCAGGTACTGCTGCCCAGTATGTCCCCAAGAATGGCACTGCTCCAAGGATTGCTGCTAACGCTGAAAAAAGAGTAAAAGAAAAGCAACTTAACATCATCAGCAAAACACTAACAAAGCAAAAGAATCGAAGCCGTAGCTCCTCCTCCTCAACAATTTCCAACAAAACAAGTTAAATACTCACAAACTCAAATATTAGGGAAATGATATGCCCTATCTAACTGAATTTTCTAGCTAAGGCTCAGTATCTTAAAACGTGATACTAAAAATCTTTCCAAGTCTGTGTCTTATTTATGGATCTCTTCTTAAGCAATAGAATTTGAGGGTTCTGGAGTTGTTACTCTCAATCAATAGTTAATATATGGTCCTATAAATATACCTACAGAACATGTGTCAAAACTTATACTGAATCCAAAGCCCAATCAGAAATCACTTTCTAAACCTCAGCATATTCTTTACTTTGCTTCTTTCTAATAAAAATAAACAGAAAAAATCCTGAGATGAAGGACCCTGCTTCAAGGTCATTCCCGTTCAGAGCAGTTATGTTCAAGCGCTCTTCCTCCATCTGGCTTCTCTCCAGGTTAAGAGTAAAGCAGATGTACCTTCTAGTTCTGGTCCTACCAGAAGCCAGGTACGTGACCTTGGAAAACTGGTCTCTCATCTATATGAAAAGTCTACCACTCCACCTCACAAGGTGCTTGCAGGCCAGAGGGTAGGTTTGTGAACATCACAGTAGGGAAGAACGTGAATGAACTTGAAAATGTAGAAGGAAGCACAGACAAATGGGGAAGAGGGGGATAGTGGTAGAGGCCAATGTGGAAGGCAGAGATATTTAGGAAAACAAGCAGCCATAGAAATAAAGGAAGGAGAAGTAGACGAACCACCACAACATATCTTAAGAGGTATGGAGGCAGCTTATGTGCCCTCAGAAGCATTCATCTTGCCCTGGGATGTAATCCCTCATGGACAAAGCTATTTGACAACACATTGCTCCCTGCCAATCAGTTCAATTCAAACATTACTGAGAGTCAATTATGTCCTACGTGTTATGCCAAGTGCTAGAACATTCATTCATTTAACAAACATTTAGGGCAACTGATACGGGTTTGGATCTGTGTCCCCATCAAAATTCCATGTCAAATTGTAATCCCCAATGTTGGAGGTAAAACCTGGTAGGAGGTGACTGGATCATGGGGGGCAGATTTCACCCCTAGGTGCTGTTCTCATGATAGTGAGTGAGTGAGTGAGTTATCGTGAGTCTGGTTGTTTAAAACTGTGTAGCACCTTTCCCCTCTCTTCCTCCTGCTCCAGTCATGTAAGACATGCCTGCTTCCCCCTCACCTTCCACCACGATTATGTTTCCTGAGGCCTCCCCCAAAGCAGGAGCCACTATGCTTCCTGTACAGCCTGCAGAACTGTGAGCCAATTAAACCTCTTCTTTATAAATTACCTAATCTCAGATATTTCTTCATAGCAGTGACAGAACAGACTAATAGCAATTTTACTATGTGCTGGGTATGGTTCTAGCTGCTGGGGATACAGCAACAAACACATTATAAATCATATTTCTGTTCCTAATGTGGACTAGATTCGATCTCAAGCCAAAAAATTTAGTTTTTTAAACTTGAGGAAGTAGACATTTCCTAGACGTATGTAAAATGGTTTAACTTTCCTTAAACAGAGAACAGTGGAAGGTGTAATATGGTTGTTACCTGATGGTATGAAGACAATATTGATGCCAAATATAGTATGAGTCAGCCAGGTGTACAATCCATAGAAGCCAGCCATTTTGAGGGAAGCATCAAATACCCCTCTGGAATGCCCAAAGATAAAAATAAAGAGTAAATAAACACAGTGTCATATCATGATTCAGAAAAATCACGTGGCCACTTGATTCCAAATCAAGTAATAGCGTTAGTTTTTCTGCTGGCCTGAGAATGCTGTTTTCATTTTATTTCAAAGAAACATAAACACCTTATTTTAAATACATTTACTAAGTTATTCTTCATGTAATATGAAATATGTTTTATTTGGAAATATATTTACTAACTATTCCTTAAATTTCTGATGGAAAAAATAACTGAAACACCTTAAAATACCCTATTCTCTGAAATAATTCATCAACTTTTCACTCTGAAGCAGATATTTCACCACCAAAACAAATGGAAAGAAAATCAAGTGTGAATAACATGTTTCCAAGAATACAGTTTAAACTCTAAGAAACCCCAGGCTCTGGCCAGTCCTCCCCTTTTGGAAACAGCCAGTAACGGACAGTGTAACTTGTATTTCACCATCTTTCTTTTATTTAACAAAACCTTCCTACGTTTCTTAAACTACGCAACTAAGCCTACAAAGTAACATCTCTTACAAATTCTATCAAAGAATGCAGGTCATTGGGAGAGAATTTACAGGAAAAAAAAAAAGATTCCTAACTCCAGAGTAAAATCAGAGAGAAAAATACAAGAGAGATAAAAACAGACACATATATTTGGTGACTAATACAGGAATTCAGTACATGAAAATCTGCAATGTCAGGTGCTCTGTGTTTTTCAGTTGGAAGATTAGTAAGGCAGGACTGTAAGGAGGGGAAATAAGGAACTGTTCAGAGAGCACAAAGGCAGCAACCTGTAAGTAATCTCAAGGCAGCACAAAATCATAAAAACCTGGACTCTATGGGGTGGTGCAGAGGGGTGCAGGGAAAGCACCCTCATACGTTCACCACAGAAGAAAAGCTGTAGTTGAAAAAGAAGACGTTAGCAGCAAAGGAGACCTTGTACATGCAAAAGGAAACACCAAGCTTTTCTAAAGCATCCCAAAAGAGGTATACTGTTAGGAGCAAAGTCAAGCCCTGTAATCTAGTGATTCAGTCATTTAGTAGGGTTCTGGGACATGGATCCAGTGGCAGAATGGCTCCCCAATTATAAAATCTGCTTTGTCATCCTGACCAATAGCTTTCACTAGACAATGTCATAAAGGTGCCATATGACTCTGCAACAAGAACCCAGAATAAAGTGGTATCAAAAATACCAAAAGGAAGGGAAAGACCCCAAAGAAAATACCAAGGATCTGCTCAACAACTAAACAGAGAGGACAGAGCAAAAAGAAAATAACAGAGCTTCAGGTTTTAAACCTGAGGGGGAAATAATAGCAGTGTCTCAAAGACATGGAGAAGGCCAGAATGGAAGAAGCATGGAAGAAAAGGGGAGTTTGTTTAGTAAGGGCAACAGGAACTCAAAAAGGATGATGAAAATACCATAGAGGCAGCTGAAATAAGAGACAAGGCTTAATAGAAAATTCAGAACAAGACATCTGAGACGCACCAGAATAATTATAGAAGAGTATAGGACATCCTAAAGGGGCAAGTGGAGAGAAAAAAGGGCAACAGGTTGTGTTTTCATACAGGACCTAAAGACAAAGAAATAACAGCCAGAGAGGTAATGAAATCATTTCTGTAGTAGGAGGAAAATCACTAGAGTGCAGTATTCCCGGAGACCAAGGGAGAAGGTAGGTTTTGAGGGGGAGGGAATAATGACATCATTGACCACAGAGAAAAAGAAAGGAAAAAAGTATAGAATTTGTCTAGAACTAGGGAGGTCAGTGAGGAAAAGATAGAGCTATCATGATCCTTCCTTAACCTTATGTTATTTAAAAAATTTTAAGCCAAAAATAAGTTGACATCAAAGGTGCAACAGAATATTGCAACTCAATCACCCCTCTGGGTGGCAAGTAACCAAGGCTCAATCCAGTAAGGATCACGTGCAGAAAACAGCACAGTCTTCTTTCTTTCACCGCTGAGAATACTGGTTGCTGGTAATGTTCTCAAGGCAACTTTTAAATGCACTATATATTGTTTGCAGTTACTAAACATATTCATGTAACCTAGTGAGGGATGAGAAGACAATATATTCCCTTCTACCTCATTACTCGTGATCTGGCACACAAGAAGTTTTATAAATAAAACAGCAGAGAAAAATCCTCTTACAATTTACCAGAAAACAGAATTTAACTCCCTCAAATTCCTAGCAACTTTTTCTTCTTTTTTGTATCAGCTTTATTAAACTATGATTTACAAATAATAAAACTCACCAATTTTAAGCATTCAATTCAGTAATTTGGACAAATATAAACATTCTACAACCATCATTACAATCAAGATGTAGAATATTTCCATCACCCCAAAAAGTTCCCTCATGCCCTTCTATAGTCAAACCCTTCCTAAACTCTGGCCTCTGACGGCCATTAGATATGCTGCCACTATAATTCTGCCTTCTCTAGAATCTCATGTAAACACAACCATACATTATACAGCTTTGTATTAAATTGTGGCAAAATATCCATGGCACAATATTTAGCATCTGAATCATTTTGAGTGTGCACTTCAATAGTGTTGAGTACATTCACGTTGTCATGTGCTTTTGGTGTTTCTTGCACCTAGCATAATGCTTTTGAGCTTCACCAACATTGTTGAGTATGTCAGTAGTTTGTTCCTTTTTATTACTGAGTAGTATTCCATTATGCAGATCGACTAGAATTTGTTTATCCATTCACCAGTTGATGGGCATTTGAAGTGTTTCCAGTTTGGGGGTATTATGAATAATACTGCTATGAACATTTGTGTACAAGTCTTTGGGGACATATGCTTTCATTTCTCGTCTGTAAATACCTAGGAGTGGAGATACTGGGTCATATGGTATCTATCTAACTTTATAACGAATACTAGCTTTAATCTCTCAATTCAGAAAAAACTAAGAGTCCACGGACACCAACCCAGAAGCCACTGCCTCCTACCGCACCGCATATCTCCTCAAGGTATGAGGTTAAACCTCACAGTTTTATGTGAGTGGATGCTGGCAGGAAGAACAATTCAGCTCATGAAAAACTAAATGACAATGCATCTGAAGCTCCTAGTAACTGACGTAGTGCACAGTGGATGCTCAATAAGCAGTGGCTATTAGTAGAAAATGTGGTGTGTGCACAAGGAAATATTATTCAGCACCCCCCTAAAAAAGGAGGAAATCCTGTCATTTGCGACAACGTGGATGATCCTGGAGGACACTATGGTAAGTTAAATAAGCCAGGCGCAGCACAGATAGACAAATACTGCATCTGGAATGTAAGAGTTGAACTCACAGAAATAGAGAGTAGGATGTGGTTGCCAGGGGCTGAGAGATGGTCAAAGGGTACAAAGTTTCAGTTAGGATGAATAATTTCAGTCGATCTATTGTACAGCATGGTGACTACAGTTAATAATAATGCACTGTATACTTTAAAACTGCAAAGAGTACATCTTAAATGTTCTCACAACAAAAATGGTATGTGACGTAATGAATATATGAATTAGCTTGATTTAACCATTTCACAATGTAACATTATATTACAAACTATAAATATATAGCATTTTTATGTGTTGCCTGGCTGGTTGCGGTAGTTCACATCTGTAATCCTAACACTGTCAGAGGCCAAAGCAGGTGGATGGCTTGAGTCCAGGAATTCAAGACCAACCTGGGCAACAGGTGAAACCCCGTCTCTAGTATAACTACAAAAAATTAGCCAGGCATAGTGTGTGCCATTAGTTATATGCCAGATGAAGTTTTATTTGACTTTGGGAGTAAATTATTCCTAGCAATCTCTGAATTTTAGGTTCCATAGAACCCTGGAATTCAGTGATAATTATATGCCCAGTATTACAGGTTATTTCACCTTACAATTTAAAATAACCAAACTAAAACTTTTTGGTATGCTACCTGCATGTGCACAGCACATAACTGTGCTTGGCATGTAGTGGGCTGTGTTAGTTTCCTGTTGCAGCCGTAATAAATTACCCTAAACTCAATTGGCTTAAAACATACTTTTTATCTTATAATTCAGGTCAGAAGTCCTAAAACCAAGATGCCACATTCTTTCTGGAGGATTTAAGGGAGAATCTGTTTTCTCTTCTTTTTCAGTAGTTTTTTTTTTTAGGCTAGCCAAGTAAAGCAGTGAGAGTTGAGAGGCAACAGAGCAATGTGTAACTGGTTGTGATCATTTAGTTGTAAATACAACCACACTTGGACTAGCCTTTTCCAGTTTTTAAAGGCTGCCTTCATTCCTTGGCTCAAGGCCCCATCTTCCATCTTTCAGATTAGTAGTGTGGCATCCTCCAATCTCTCTCCATCTCTCAGCTCTGCTTCTGTCCACATGTCTCCTTCATTCTGACTCTCCTGCCTTTGTTTTCTAATAAAATTTTTTTATTGAGATGAAGCTTATATAACATAAATTCCATCATTTTAATGTATACAATTCAGTGGTTTTTATTATACTCATAATTTGTGCAACTATCACCATTAATTCTAGAACTTCCTCCCTCTTATAAGGACTTTTTCTAAACTTGTTTTTCTTCTTTCATTAATAATAAAGGTATAGCTGATAATTTTTTTTTGAGACTGGGTGTCAATCTGTCACCTAGGCTTGAGTGCAGTGGTGCAATCTTGGCTCATTGCAACCTCCACCTCCCAGGCTCAAGTGATCCTCTCACCTCAGCCTCCCGAGTAGCTGGGACTACAGGTGCACACACAACCCCCTACGTGCCAACCACTGTTACATGCTGTGCACACACAAGTTTTGGTTTGGTTATTTTAAATAACCTATAATACTGGGCATATAATTATCATTCGTCTCCAGGGTTCTTTGGAACCTAAATTTCAGAGACTGCTAGGAATAATTTACTCCCAAAGTCAAATAAAACGTCATCTGGCATATAACTAATGGCAAGCACCATATAGTTTGAATGGGCTACCAGAAATCATTAATCAATGCAAGAATATTACTTACAAT